TCCCTCCTCACTGCCACCCCTCAGAAGCCCTGGCCTCCTTCAAGACTCAGCTGAAATGTCACACATACACTCTACATACGTACACTATATATGCACACAGATACCATATATACATATGTGTGGGATGTGTACATATGTACCTATGTCTAAACTCCTTATGAGTCTCTGCTTTCTCTCTCCAGCCTCTGGCAGAGTGCCTTGCATGGAGGGTTAGAGTTTGCTGTTCATTTCAATTGTTTAATGTCTCCCTTCCTCTTCCCAAATTCTATATGTGGTCCTGACTCATGACATTTTTGTTGCCTTTTTCAATCCTCCCTAACTAACTGAATTCTCTCCCTTTTCATCTCCTGTCTCAGCTTCTCCTGCTTAATCCAAGCTTCTGCCAGAAGCCTTTGCCAATTCCCCTTAACTGTAGAGTCTTTTCTCTGAGATCACCTCCAGTTTGTTCTGTTCATATCTTGTTTGTACATGGTGGTTTGTACATTGTCTCCTCCACTAGACTAGGAGCAATTTGAGAGCATGGATGGATTTTTCTTTCCTACCTTTCTTTATATCTCCAGCATTAGCTCAGTGCCTAGCACATAGTAGGTGCTTAATAAATGATTGCTGACTTGACTTGGTAAAGGTAGGATCTGAATCTAGCTCTTCCTGACTTCAGGGTGGGTTCTCTATCCATTGTGCCAAGCTGCCTCTTAAGTTCTATAAAAAAAATGTTCTTAGTAAAGAGGGGGGGAGAGGGAGAGAGAAAGAGAGGGAGGGAGTAAGAGACAGAGATAGAGAGAAACAGAGACAGAGAGAAAGAGAGAGACAGAGAGACACAGAGAGAGAGGGGGGAGAGAGAGAGAGAGGGAGGGAGAGAGGATGATGAGCTAGAGCAGGAGATGAACCTTATTGGATGGAATTTAATAGGGACCTAGGTTCCAAATATTAGCTTCAGCAGCACAGGCTGGTTAGGAGGCTGGTGGTTTGATAAAAGCTACTGGGCTTAAGTGTACTGCAAACTCAGCATGAGCAAGGAATTTGATATGGTGGCCACAGAAGCCACTACAGATGGGCTGCCTCAAGGGAGTCAGGTTTCCAGGAATAAGAAAGTGAGAGATCCTCTATCTTCCTCCCTGTGGGTTGTCATGGTTCTGGAAAAGCCCTGGCAAACTGGAGATGACCCAGAGGACAGGCAGCCTGGCAAAGAGCCTCTGTCCATGGTACATAAGAATTGGGTGAAGAAGTAAGACTTGGGTTCAATCCTGACTCAGACACTTGCTAGCTCTGTGACTCCATCTAGGCAAGTCAGCCTGTCTGGATCTCAGTTTCCTCATCTGTAAAAGGGGGAGGTTGGATTTAATAACCTTAGATTTCCTTCTGGCTCTAGATCTATGAAGTTAGGCTTGTTCATTGACTCACTGATTGACTAACCCTTTCTATTACATCAGCACACATTTACTAAGCACCTACCATGTCTGTACCTTGTGGGGATACAAGAAAGGCAAAAACCTGATCCCTGCCTAATGTGATGGGGAGACAACTGGTATGTAAATAGGTACATGGAAGCTAGATACATGCAGAGTAGATGGAAGGGAGGCAGAGCGGGAAGGCATTGGCAACTGGTGTGGAGTGAGATGAGAGAATAGAAATTCCTCTAGAAGC